ATGTTGGAGGAAGCACAACACTAGGGGTGGGCTTTGAGAATTCTTAAGCCTTGCTAGGTTTCCAGTCACTCTCTGCTTCCCATGCCTGTGTGGAGATGTGATCACTCAACTTTCTGCTCCAGTCACCTTTTGCCACCATGCCTCCCCACCACAATACAAACTCTTACTCCTTTGGAACCCTAAGCCAAATAAAACACTTCTTTCTAAAAGTTCCTTGCTCATGGTATCTTATCAAACTATGAGAATTAATATTCCAGCTGCCAGACAAGTTTAACCCAACTATATGGTGATTGTCCTGATCACTAGAAACATTAAGAAAGAAAATCACTTTATTACTGCTATTTGCTAACTTCACATTTTTTATTATTAGGGCAAGGAGGCGCTAGGATCAAACCCAGGGCCTTACACATGCTAGGCAAGCAAGCACTCTACTACTTAGCTATACCTGCAGCCTCCAATAACTTGAATAGAAGAAAATGACAGACGCTTCTTAACTAAGCAAGAAGGTAGACAAAGTGGGTGTGGCTGAAAAGGGCTACATGAAGTGATGAAAATGTTCTGTATCTCAACTTCATTAATTAATTAATTAACTAATTAATTAATTAAAAGTGGGTCTCACTATACAGACCAAGTTGGCCTCAAACTCACAAAAATCTATCTGTCTCTGCTTCCTGAATATTGTAATTAAAGGCATGTACCACCACACATGGCCAAACTTTAAATCTTTTTTTTCTCTTTCACAAGTGGCTGTAAGTTTCTAGTTTCACAGTTGAATTAATACAGTTATACAATATTGAACTCAGTATAAGCCCTGTCAGACATAAAATGGAATGTGTTTTTAACCTTTAAAAAAGATCTCCATTTCATTTTAGAATACATTGTTTTTGCTACTAACACTGAGATGTTGGCACGTGCATCTCTAATCTGTATGCATCTGATTATTATTAGTTCTAATCGGTTGCACTTGGATTCTTGGCGCCTGTGCATGTCGATAAAGTCATGAGGTAGATTTCAGTGGTATTGTTTATCACCTCATGGTATAAATT